CTCATTAATCCAGTCTTTTCATTACTTTATAGCCTTGTTCATGTATGTGACTTCCTTGAGCTGCAATGTCTTCTCTCCTGCATTTCCACTTACTCACTTTAAAAAGCTTTACATTCAAATTACATCCTCTATGATGCCTAATCTGATCACAATGACTCCTTCAGTTGGTATTTCATGAAACACTTACTAAGGGTTCTCTCCATATTCAGGCATGTGCCGGGTGCAGGGGATGTAAGATGCCTAGGACACTGTCCCTGTACTCAAGCACCCATTAGGGACTGCAGGAGCTGGGACTGGAGTGTGAGCGGTGTCCCCTGGTGCCTCTCAAGGGAAGACGTGCCACAGTTGGCCTGGAGGTAAGTGGACTGGATAAGACACTCATATTTCAGCTTCTTAGCTTCTGAGTTGGGAGACTGTGAGGAGGAGATAACTCATCTGGGACATCTGAGGACTCCCATGAGGTATTCACTAAACATCTGCTGAATAAAGGAGTAAGTGCAATGCACCTTATCAAGAAAAACTTGTTTTAATAAAAAATCAGTGGAACCTGGAGTGGGTATGGTTTTGGTTGTTATCAAAATAGTGCAGGGGTCTTCATTTGATGAATGAGATATGAACTATTCTTGAAATAATCATACCCCAGTCCCCACCCACAAATCCGTAACTGAAAATGTCAAATGTGTCTAATTAGCACTAAACATAACATTCTCATAGTTATTTTTAGATAACTTTCTTAGAGATTGTGACGCTATTTACTTTTAGCAGCATCTCAGCAATATTCAATCAAGAAAGCAAAACAATCCACATATATGGATCAATCCTGTCTACGGAAGTATTGATAGCCTAAGCAATAGCGTGATGGCCAAGCGCAGAGTATGCCTTTGGAACCACAAGGGAGCAGAAATGTGTTTAATGTAAACTTGGGCCTTGGAGGTAACAGCACCTTTCCCTTGATTTTTCAGTCTACTTTTGATTTCATTCATTCTTTCAACCGAGAACATGCTGTCTCCTAAAGAATTTATTCTAATGTAAAACATTAAGTTAACATGATGCAGAATGAACAAAGAGGCAGTCTTCAATAATTAAGCAGCCTACATATTTAATGACATGTCTTGCTTGCATTAGAAGTCCTGGTGAACAGCTGCAGACTACTTTGAAGACAACTTAAAAGTGCAGTGATGACAAGGGACTGCAAATCACTGTATTAGGAATTAGAGAGTTTTGTCCCATTAATATGCAAACAGATTTTTTTAAGTGTCGAATAATACAAATTGTTGACAAAAAAATGGAAGTAACATTTTCTTAGTCCACATTAGCATGAGATGGCAAAGAAGGCATAGAATGTTACAGAGAAATTCACCAACAAATGGGCTGCCTTGAGAAAAGGAGTGACCGTATCTTCACTGTTAAGTTCTGTGGTGTGTAGGGTAATATTCATGTGTTTGCTTTTAGATTGAGCCCAATGTATGTCCAACAATTGTACAGCAGACACACAATCTGGTACATGTCAGAATGGTTGGGTTTACTGAGTTTTATACTCTGATTTAATCATTATGCATTGTATACACGTATCAAAATATCGTACATAGCCCCCAAATATGTACAACTATTACATATCAATTAAAAAAATAATAAAATACATACATCGATATAATTGCCATTGATATAGTCTGAGTTTGTGTCTCCTTCTATTGTCTGCAGCCTCACTCGGGAATGATCGTCTGCAAAGGAAAAGGGACAGAAAATAACAATTAACAAAAGCAATCTGGTAGGTGGCTCTGAGCCCCAGAATGTAAGCATATTACATAGAGATCACCCACATACACTCTGCTTTAAAGATAAAGAATTACATACTATACACCTTCTACTTCCTGTTTTGCTATTAAAATTGGGAAGGATTTATAATTTTTTACATTTTACAGTAAATCTCATTAACTTATGCTTTGATCATTGATGGGCCTAAAGCATTGACAAAGGTTTGACACTTTTACAAACAATCCTGTGAACCACAAACATAAGTAGTTCTTGGATTGGAAGTTTGAACGACTTCACTAAATCACATACAAACCCTGAGATGTTGAAGGTTGTGACACCCAGCTTGACAAATGATGATTACAAACTCACAGCACAGGCTTCTGGGATGTGTAGATGTGATCCTAGCCTTAGTCACTGGTGAATTCCCTAAGTACTATCT